CTTGAAAGAATTAAAATAAAGGAACTCATCAAAGAAAAAATTGAGGTGTTTGATAATTGCTAGCTACTATATGTGTGTGTGATAGAGAGACATAAAATAATCCTAAATGATAGGAAACAATTTTAATGCTAATATAATTTTCAAGTTAGTAAATGAATGTAACAAGTTTAGGGTTTAGGGTGCATACCATGTATACGTGAAATTGCTTGAGTTCATCCTTGTCTGGGATAGAAATAACTATTTTAGCTCTTTCACATGAAGCCTTTGATGACTTCTTTGCAACACTTTCTAGAACTAAGATTCTTTTAACAGGTTATTCAACACCTTGTAACATGTCTTCCCGTTGTTGTTTCTTTAATCTATACAAAACTAAACATTCACGAAGAAAAATCAGGAAGAAAACTAAACACACATAATACCCACTACCCCGGATCTAGTTTATACGTTTTAGTGATTTTAGGATCGGGATCAAGCAATTAGTTGGGTACAATTTTGAAGTCACGATCTTACACGTGAATTGATTGGAGTCCTAAGTAGAGAGCAAAAAAGTTAGAGATAAAGATTTGGAGAGAGGTGGTGAGGGTGGAGGAAAAGATTGTGAATTTTTTTTTGAGAAAGAGTACTACTTATAACACTAGAATTTGTTACTCTTAGACTTTTTAGAAGGTTTTGTTATATTTTAGAGCTTTCTATAAAATTTTACATAGATTACTTTTAGGTTTTTTTAGAACGTTTTGTTATATTTTAGGGTTTTTTATAAAGTTTTACATAAACTTGTGAAAATATTATTATATTTTAGGGCATTCTATAAGACTTTATCTAGACTTGCGAAATACAATAAGCATTTAACTTGGTCCATTCAAAATTGTTGATACTTCTGATTTGATCTTTCAACAAATATTATTTATGTTAATCACTCGTTATGCAAAACCAACAAAAATGTTCTTAAAATATGAAGCTGAACTAAGGGTTAAAAATTAAATTGAGGTTCTAAATTTTTTTAGCTCTACGGGACTATTTTAATAGTCAAGCCTTAGGGCCGGTCTTGTCGTGCCTCCTTCCATTCAAAAAATCAAAGTGTCTCCTCAACATCAAATAGATTTGGTAGATTAATGTTTGATGTATTTAGTTATTTAAAAAAGTATTACACCCATAATAGATAGAAATAATAGAAAGTGGAATTAAAAGAGAGATGATAAAAATAAATAATTTGATTTGTATTTTAAATTTACATAAAGACAAAAATATAGCTAGAAGAACGCGCGTGAGAAAGAGAGAGAGACTAGTGAAGTGATGTCCAATATGCACTACTTTTTGTACCTTTTCCGCCTTATTGTTTTTTTGACAAATTTAATTTGGTGTGTCAATGGCCTACACCATTGGACTCAAATCATTTAACTACGATTTTTTTTATTGGTTGAAATTTTAATTGAGTTTTTTTATTGGACTCAATTTTTATAAGTTTAAATTTTGTAAAAATTGGAGATAAGTCCTCTTTAAAGGACTTTTAATGAGTTAAGTCTATTATTTAAACTTATTTAAAAATAAGTCTGAGTTTAAGGGTGTCAAAATATGACACGATCCGTTAACATGACACAAAATTAGAGGATTTGTGTTTCCTTAAGTCATTAATTTTATAAACGAGTGAATGTGAGATGACACGATTAATAAACGAATTAGGTATGGATAAAGTTAATCAGAAAAAATACATATTACAACTCGTTTATATACCAGTTATAAACAGTTCATATATAACACAAATTTGATATAACACGATTTGTTAGGTACGAATTAATAAACGAATTAAAAATGGGTGGAATATTTTTTAACACGAACCCGCTAAAATTCAATACGAATTCATTTCACCCGACATAATTGACAGACCTAGTTAAACCTAATTTTACTTGGTACTCTTTAAGTTGAAAGTGTTTTTTTATGAGTCTATTTTGCAATTTGTGCTTTAGTTTTTTACGTCTGTTTAGGGGGAGTGAATGAATGATTAAAGTGATTCTTACACTCGAGGGCAGTGTGATTATAGTGAGAACAAATTTGGCATTGCACCGTAAGACGCGAGAATGAGGTAGAAGGAGGCTTTTCCAAGAATCCCATGAGCAGAATTAGTAGAGATGCCATTAGTTGAAGTTGTATGCTGAGAAGGATCCCGATTGTTGTTGTGATAGTAACGCCCCCGCCCTCGACCGCGACCTCTATTGGAAGAAGAGGAGCCACGGTTTGCGGAGGAGACACGACCAGGGCAGAATTAGGAGAGTTTGTGGTAGAGAAAAGGGCAGTAGAAAAAGAATCAGCGGGTAAGGAAAGATCATTCACATGTTCTTCTTCAGTCAACAAGAGTGGCCGCAACGCAACAAATGAAGTAAACAATATCAATTTGTTAAATATAAATATACTAGTTATTCTCTGCGTCTAAAGCTACAAAGTAATAAAAAATAATAAATAATAAACATATTTTTATTCATATTCAAAATCAAATCACAAATAAAAAAAAAAGATAAAAAAATTTAAACATCGATTTGTAGTGGGGTGAGAGGTGATAGGCGGGCAGTGGTTGTGCTGATGGTGGCAGTGGCAATGGTGATAGTGGTGGTGATGTCAGCAACGGTGGTGGTGGTGGGGTGGTGGTGGTGGTGGAGGTGGTGGCAGGGCGATGGTGGTGGCGGCGGTAGCGATGGGGGTGGCAGGGGTGGTGGTGGCGACGATGGGGGTAGTGGTGGCGGTGGTGGCAACGGTAGAAGTGGCAACGGTGGTAGTAGAGGTAGTGGTGAAGTAGTTTCAAACATTATTTTTTTTTAAATACTTATAAAAAATAATTTTTAAAAGTACTTTTAAAAATTCACTCCAAACACATTCTTAAAGGTCTATTTTTCCTATTAAATTTTTGTATTAATATTAGCCGTTAAATTAACTTTAAATAAAATTTAAAGCGATCTCAAACGCGAATAGCAAAAGTCATTTTATTTATTTTTTGAAATTTGAATTGTAAACTACTTTACTATATAGAAATTTGTTCCTTTTCTTTCCGACTCTCAAAATTATGTTCTCTAACGTTAATATCTTTTTTTCATATACATTTTATTCATACATATTATTCACAGAACACATAACATGTAACATTTAGAGCACATAACATATAATGCACAATAGATGTACTAGTCTAAACCCATGCCCTGCATGTCCTAAGTAAATCAAAAAATTGGACTTTGATACCAAACTGTGACACCCCTAAAACCAAAGATCATTTGTCAATTCGTTGATCACCCATCAACCCGCAGAAGTAACCGTGAATGCTGCATAACCCGACACCACTACATAACATCCCCTTCACCGGAATTGTTGGCCAAAAGACAAATGGGTCGGACACGAAATTAAACGAGTCAATGGGTTAAAACAGGTCAACACACTTAAACACAAAAAAAATCATGTCAGGTTCACGTCAAAATCAAGTCAACAATTCATTCTAAAGACTTCGAAGCCATTCAAAAGGCATAAAAATTTGAAACTGCTGGTGTAACGCTGTTTCTTGTGCACTAGAATTAGTCATTGATCTGAATATTTGTCTTTGCATGAACCATATTAAAATTTAATGAGTGCATAAGACTGCATTGTGCATAATGTAGCCAAATTGACTTACAAAATGCAAGGCTACCAAACATTTAGAAAATGCAGACGACTCCAGACAATTTTATGTGGCAATTAAATTAATTAAGTTGGACTGATTATTTATGTTGGCATTAAGTCATATACAAGTTGATGGAATTCCCATATTTGAACTGCCAATAAATAAGCTTCTACCACACAATGCAAGGATTTAATGACTCCATTCAACATCTGTGATGTTGCTTTGATTTCAAAAATTGGCTGGAGTTGCAAGAGATCAAGGATATGGTTGTGAGGCAGGGCATTCCATAGAAATCACCACAAAATGCCTAGAATCCCACCCTTTAAAGCATGGAGTCTCAGGGAAAGCATCATATTCCAACGCCATGAGCAGTTAAATCATAGTATGCTCTTGAATAGTAAATGCAAAATCTAAGTATATCTCCTAATGGGATGCCTCTTCAGACATGCCGCTATTTTTGATTGATCCATAAAATGGAAGTTTATTAACAGGTTCAAATGACGAAAAGAGAAATAATAATTGCTAAATATTCTCATTTTCCTTCTTTTCCGTTGAGGTTTTAAGTAATGGTTCGAATGCCAAGCATGCTAGTATATAGTATTGAGATGGATATTTGGCTAAAATCAATGTACTATGAACTAGTTAAAATTCAATTGGATTCGCTGGCCAAGAAAGCAAATCATACGACTACATTCCGAGATCTCCGGATCAAACCAACTTAACATGAGGACTTTGGCACCATATTTGCACCAAATTATGAACGGCAGTATCCTATTCAAAATTAGTTCAAACCCAGAGTTTACTAGGGGAGAAACAAAATACTAACAACATAGGCAACCCTTCCTGTCTTGTTTCTGAGTCATCTATCTTCCACTATTTTTTGGGGGGAGAACTTGAGACCCTCACGGGTCTCACCTCTAAAATGTGTTTTGAATCATGATCCTCATCTTCACTGAATCCACAATCAACCATCTAGTTGTCTGCCCTAATTTTTGGAGATCTACATGTAGACAGCACCTAAATTCACTTTCGACAATTCTGCATTTCATGCAATTGGAACTCAAAATTTTGTTCACTTGCTATTACCAATTAGACTAACTTGCCTTCTAAAAAGTAAAGATGATTCGCCTAGCTGAGCTATTATTAGGTAATTGGCTTGTATTTGCTATGTTCATGTCCCGCTTGTTTCAATGTTCTCTACTACACTTGTTTTAACAGGGTTTTTGATTTCTTTTCAGACTATCCAGAGTCACAATGTGCAATTGTTTTTTGATGCTTAAATTCAGCAACAAGATTCAATATCAGTCAGCACAATCTTTACAACAAGAAGCACAGAACAACCCCCCCCCCCCCTCCCCTCAAAAAAAAAAAAAAAGCAGAAGCTTCATAGAATTCATGACATACAGTCAACCATATATGTATGTTATAATGTCTAGGATTCAACCAGCTAGAGAACCATTTCATTGTATAAATTTCGAAATAACCATAATGATTACAACCTAGTAATCTCCCATGTTTCTCTTTTCAAGTATCAGCAACATATATATTACATAAATTGAATAAAAATAACAATTTTTTTTTTTCAAAAAAGAGAGAACATGGGATTGTAAGCTTCTAAAGTACACACCCGTTAAAAGGGACGTTTCGGTGGCCGAACGGAAAGCTGAATGGGGAGGGGCCGACCGGTCCCAGAGCCTCCACAGCTACTACAGCCCATACGGCCCGACCCAGAACAGGTCCGACACCCGACATCCCCGTCGGACCAGCGAGAACATAAACAATTGACACGGCCGGTGCCGTTGCATTTGGGACATCTCGGAAACTGACCCGGCCCAGCCATGGGCTTCTGGTCCATCACCGACTTCACCAGAGCAGCACCGGCCAGTACGCTCAGACCCGTCGCCAGCTGTGTCACCACTATCGGACCCATCTTCAGAACTTACAAGAGACCACCAATGAAATGAGAAGCCGATGACAGAGGGAAAGAAGGAAAGCTTTTTATGCTATTTTTGTTGATTTTTCAATCGTGGGGTTTTATATCGGAGAGGAAATGAAGTGGTTGTGGAGACGTACACGTTGATCATGTGAACTTGGTGGTTTTCGATGATTTGGAACGTAGTGAAGATGTTTCTGGGTCAATGTTATTTTTGTTGGGTGGTGCCGGCTTGCTTTGCATTTTCGGCTTCTCATCCTCTACTTTGGATGATTTGCTTCAGTAAATACTAATAGGATGTTTGATTGGATAGATAATTGGGTGGATGAAAAATGAGATGGGAAGAAATTTTTTTCATTATTTGGTTACAAAGGAAATCGGAGTGAATTAAAAATTGGAGGTGTTTTCCTCTGGCCCAACATTCTTTTCTTCCTAAAAGTGGGAAGAAATTGAGAGGAAAATTGAAAATAAATTACTTTTTCTGAATAAATTAATTTTTTTGATCTTAAATATATTTTTAAATATTGTCATAATTTCAAATCAAAACTTGTATATTTCCCTAAAAACACTTATAAATATTATAGTATATATATATATATTACCTATTATTTTTGTATACATATCTATATTTATTTTTAAAACTAATTAGAGCGGCACTTTATAATAAAAAATTATTTTTATATGTAAAGATATAATGGTAAATTAAGTACATATATCTTTTTTTTCTTTTATTTTTCCTCCAATACCAAACAATAAAAAATGAATTATTCCAACTTTTCATTTATCATACCAAACATAAAAGAGAGAAAGTGTTTTTTTTTTCCAAAGACAAAAAATCTATTTCTCACATTTTTTCATGCTTTTAATTTTTTATCTCTCTTACCAAATGGAGCATAAGTGTGTTTGATTTTGCATGAGTAATAATAAGGTAGATAAAAAATAAATATTAAAAAACCCATATTAAAGTCAAGGTAGCCTATAAACAAAAAGTTGTTTTTTACGGTTTTGAGGTGCTAAGGCTTGATCATGACTTCAGTCGTCCTCGTCTAGAACCCTTTGTAGACTATTCTTCAGAATAAAGAGTGTTATGGTCATATCCTTAGTAGGGATTTTACATTTGATTGTCCCTCTATTCTTTTTTTTAATTTGTAAGAAAAATATGCTTTTTTTTATATATATTTATTTATTTAAATTTTGTTTATCTGATAAATAGTACATCATTTGATTTAGTCCATGTTTTTTATCGCCTTTTTTCTCTACTCTAGCATTTGTTTGTTGTACTGCAATTTCTCTTCTGGAGATTCCTTTTCTTTGTTTGTCCAAATACGTTCTACGTAGAAATTCTACAACGTATTCCTTTTTCTTTGCTACAAATAATGAGAGGATTCAAACTTTGAAATTTGAAGATTTAACGGTTGGACCCAACGCAGTGACCAATTGACCGTGTGGGAAATTCTTAAATCAAATGAACAAGGTGGACTAGGTCCAATATAGTCACAATCCGAGCCCAGTCCTTGCCGCCTAACGTTGTTTTTTTCTACATCTACTCTGAATTATACAAACTTTGACCATGAAATTAGTACCTTACAACAACTTCATCATCACAACTCAAGTAGATATGGCCAAGTTGGTCTAAAGCGCCAGATTAAGCTTCTGGTCCAAAAGGGAGTCGGTTAAATCCCACTCTTCACACTTTTTTCCACAACACTATGCTGAAAATCCAACTACAGTCAGGTTTAAACAGTGCGATAAGAAAATAAAACCTTCCTTGGTAAGAAAAGGACTCGTAAACCATTCCAATGCTTAGTAATTTGATCAAACACCCACCAAATTTCTTGCTACTTGACAGGACACCCAGAATGGCTCCGTATTTAAAGGTGAGTTTTACATGGTCATATCAATTAGGGCTATATGATTGTCAACACGATTGTGTTTGGCGTATTTTGAATTGCGGACACGCCAAATTTCTAAAAGACTTAATTTCAATATTTACGATCTTATCTATTTGAATCAATATGAGATCCTAAAATCATGGTTGTTTATATGATTGAAATGAAACCTAAGACTATTTTTACATATTTTTTTCAACATTAGATATCATAGATTTAAATAATTTTCTTAATAGCGAGCGACTGAACTAAGAATTTAAGGTAATTTGGAAAAAAGACAATAATGTAAATGATAAAGAAGAATTGTTGCATAAATTACTGTATATGAAATTAAATGGAAAAGAGGTCACCAGAGTGCCGATTACAGTATAAAAAAATAAATAAGCTAAACAGTACTGACGAAGGTTATGATATATTTTGTGTGTGTGTGTGTGTGGGTGGGTGTGATTAAGAGGTCTTTGTATTTATAAGCAATGAGCATTAGTCGTTGGAGCCAACTTTTCTCGCCACAATACCAATAATCATGATCTCTATTTTCAACATTGTCTATCATGCTCAAGACTAGCTATAATTATCGACTCATGATATCATGTCTCTTTATTACCCAAGGTCCATACGGACCATTTTTCTTTTATCTATCTTATCGCTCCTAAATTTTACTGGCTTGATCCTAATTGCTGGCCCTTACTACATGTCACCTCTAAATTTTTATTATTTGAGTGCAAACAGATAGGGAAGACCTATAGGCCAAATTAAATTACCAACATCCTGCCACCATTATGTTTTCAGCACAAACTTTTCATGTATCTTACCTTCACTGATTTCAAGAATTTTCATGTGTAAACATCAAAGGCATTTGCTCTGCTTGCAAATCTCACCAGAGATTTAAATGCATTTGAAGGTGAAAAAAAAGTGCATAAACATCTTCGACTATCTAAATAACCCTGTTTTTATAAATTGGTAAAACATCAAACTATTCACCAAAATATATTATTTTCCAGGAGAACACATATTCAAATTAGGAAGAAAGATTGGTTCCCAGTGTTTATTTAAACATCAGCCTTTCGCTCCCTCTTTCATTCCCAAAGGATTCGATTGTACTTGCTTATAATGACCAAACAAAACGAATTATACTTTGGATATAGAGGGAGGATAAAAATTGGAACTCAAGTTTGAAATACAATTCGGAAGTTTCTGGGCCGGCAAGCCAATTTCAGTTGAATTTGGATTGAATTAAGGTGGCACAAAACAGTGAATCAATATCCAACTCCGAGACATAATACGTTATTGAGGTTGTCAAATCTTGTTACTTTGAGTTTCTTCGAGCAATTCTCCCGAACTGAAATGCATCTTTTAAATACAAATCTTTTTCATTTTTTTGCAATAATAAATAACCCACTATCTATTACTATATTAGGGGCAACCCGTGCTTAAAAATATGAATTTAATATGAATAATTTTAAGAAAGATATTAGTAACTATCGAACGAGTATATTTGAAACCGTCAGAATAAGTTCAAACTTACTAAAATCTGCTCTGTTTTATATTATGGATGGTTTATTTACAAAAATGAGTCTTATCCAAAATATTTGAGAGGATACCACCTTGAGACCACACAACCATGTGGAAAATTATTTAATTTTTAAATATATATTAATTATAAGATAACAATTATAAATTATAAATATTATTCTAGTTTGATATGAATTTTTATATATGAGTCAATACTTTTCAAATAAAAAATTAAGTAATAATGAGTATGCATATAAATAAGTAAAAGCGAGAATTCGAGAATTGAAAATTTGAATTTGCAAATTGTGTAAAATAAGAGTGCGAATTCACGGAGAATTCATTTTCAAAGCTCGAATTCATACGCCAAACAACTCTGTTTTAAAAGATTATGTGACTAAGGGCGTGATAAATGATATTGCATTGAAGAAAATGGTGGTGAATGATATTGCATTAAGAAAATGGTATCAAATAGGATCGGATCGATTTCAACCAAAGCAACTAAACCACATCCAAAAACTTGGATTGTTGTCCACATGCTCTCTACACTGTAAACAAACTTCTCATGTGGACTTATTTTTATTTTTTTTTTTCCGGTAAGATCATTTGGACTTTCTGTTACTAGTCCATTATTCATTGCAATTGCCTCTAATACAAAACAGGTACTATATAATTTCTCAACATGATAGCAAATTTAAAAGAAAAATCAAGAAATAAACCTACCATATGAGTTGGGTAGTGACCCATGAGACCTGACCACCCCAAGAGAACAGACCCCCACCATAGGATGGTCTTTAAAATATCGGCAATCACTGAAACATCATCAATTGTCCAGTTTAGCAAAACCTACGATCTTCACTCCCATGGCTCACGTTAGCCGCGGGCGGTATTTCGAAGTGCCACAGCCTCCCCACAGCCTTCACCAACTGCTTTCTACACAGAAACATTTCTGCATAAGCCTTCTCAACCTTCCGATCCACATCATGCAGAAATACGTGAGTCACACCTGATTTTTTCCTATTCCTCGCCATTACTGCCGCCGAATAAATCGCCCCCATCCTACCGGGCAATTCAGGGGAGTACCCCCTCGGAGCGTCAATCATTATCAAGTCCCACTCTCTCTCATACACTTCATTAGGAAGTGTGTCCAATGCTAACTTGCAATTGGTGTTACCACGTAGGAACGATTTGGAGGGCCAACAATCCGGTTCCCTGTTGAACAATCCGACCAATTCATCGGCTTGGGAGAGTTTGGTACGGTACTGGACGGTGTGGGCGTGAAGCGTAGGTGCATCTTTTAATACTGTTTGGACCCACTTGGGGTCTTCTTCGAGGAATAGAGTGGTGCCAAGTGGATTGAATGAGGACCACATGAGAGAGTCGTGACCGAGCCCAAAAACGAGGAAGTTGCACGGAGCTGGCTGAAGAGACTGGAGGACGTTGAAGGAGACACTGATCTCGGCGAGTGATTGTTGTGGGACCACGGTCGACGTGGCGTAGTGGAGGATGGCCTTCTGGAAGAACTGAGCAGGGGATGCGTCGACGGCTTCGCCTCGGAATCCTGAACCGGCAGCAGAATTGCAGAATGGCGGACCGCCGGCGGCTCGGATGAAGGTGGCGATTAGAAATACGCCGCCGATTAGACCCGTCATTGCCACAACCAGAAACCATGGCCTCTCTGGTTTGAAGTGACGATTATCACTCTTCATCTCTGTTTTCTCGTTGTATTGCTGTTTGTGTGGTTTCCAACAAGAGAAAACAAAAGGGAAATGGAAGTATTTGTGATGATAATTGATAGTGTTTTAGACTTACGATAGAGCTAGATACACGTAATGCGACCACAGAGGGAAGAACACTGTCGGTAATAAGAGACTGGGTCGAAGGACCAAAATGTCCTTGAAGAAAACTCGTATATACAATAGACCCGGATCATGGCTGCTAGTTTTTTGTAAGAGAGTGGTACTGTTTTTTTAAAACGACGTCGTTTTAACGTAAAGTGGTATAATTTTGAAGAACAAATTTACTGCAGTAGTGCAGAGGATCCAGTCTGATTCTGATATACAATTGACGGGATGATTGATTGATTTTTTCGTAGCTACAACCAATAACGTAGCTACAACTCAACGCATATTTGTCAGAAGGTGGGTCCAAGATATTTATTTTTCTACAGGCAGTCACCAATCTAGGAATTTAATATAAGAAAATGAGGCTGCCTTTGCATATTTTCCCTCTGCCCCACTATAACATTGGTATTTTGATCCCATTTTAATATTTTAGGATACTTAGAAAAAATTAAAACAGGATAGATTATGGGAATTATAGATTATGTGAGAAATTTTATAAGAAAAGAATAGATTGTGGGAATTATAGATTATGTGAGAAATTCTATAAAAAAAGAAATGCAGGATAGATTATGATAATTATAAATTTATGTGAGAAATTCTATAAGAAAACAAAATGCAGATTACGAAAATAATAGATTATTTGAGAATTTCTATAAGAAAAGAAATGAGATGATAAGTTGAACGAGGGATTAGAATGAGATGTAAAAAATTAGTTGGTAAATATCTTTTTTTTTTAAATTACACCTTTATTATAACGGAGTTATGAAGGGAAAAAAGTTTTTCCAATTGGTACACAGGAGCGCACTTTCTTTTTACTTTTATTACTAGTAGGGGTCCAATGATTCTTTTCCCAGTGCATTTTTGGTCCTTTTATTTTAGTGTTTGGACACCAAGTGATAGATTTTTGCTAATTCAGTGGACCATTTGTGTGTACAAATTCACTCTCAAATTTTTTTTGTATGCCCTGTTTTGCATTTTGATTCAACATGTCACAATCTGAAATGCAGTATTTTTGTTTCACGGGACCGCCCGATGGGAAATCAAAGAAAGACGTGCACATTTGGAATTAGCAATCTATTTTAATTGTTCACATTGTCAAATTTTTTATTTGAAATAATGATAAGGAATGTGGACCTACACCCATGGACTTGTAGTTCTATTTGAAATTATAATTTTTGTGAAATTATTTATAATTTTTTAGAATTATTTATGATCAATTTTAAGATCACTTACAAGTGACCCTAAAAAATTATAAATAATTTTTAAAATTATAAATGACCCCAAAAATCTACAAAAAGTTATAAATGATCCCAAAAATTATAAATAACTCTAAAATTTTGTTAAAAAACTCACAAAACTAATAACAATAATAATATGTACACCACCTTATCTATATCACTTGATCTCATTTTAAATATTCAATAAATTTAACAAGACCCACTAATTTAATAGTTCTGGTGCATAAAGACAACATAAAAAAAAAATATCAATACTGACACCGAAATTTCCGTAGACTACCACATGTAATTTATGAATAAATATTGAGTGTAACTGTTACACCATGTCAACAACCATGCAATAAAAAATAAATAAAATGGATTAAATGAGATTCATTTCAATTATTATGTATTACATGACTGGGTGATTATAAATTTTAATTAAACTCATTTACAAATTTATTTATTTATTAATAGATAATTATACTGTTGTATAATGATTCCACCAAATAATTTTCCGTTGTGATAAAGTCAAGTCCAAAAGATCATGCCCGGGAAAGCACTTTTACATAAATTTATGTCGTAAAACTCGGTGATATTAGATGGGCTGGCGTGATTGATGGTCATTTATACTTGGAAATTTAGGAATACTTTCTTTATTATTAAAAACACCACTCACACTCATTGTAGTTTGTATTTTAAATATTGTTGACACCCTCCGTCATTAAACTATTATTTATAATAAAAATAAATTATTTAAATATCAAAATTATTCTTATATAAATTTTAAACAATTTTTCTACATAAAATTTGATCCGAGTAAAATATATTTTTTATCATATTAAAATTTGTCGAATTAATATTTTTTTAATATATTAACATTTTAATCGATTAAAATACGATTCAAGCTGATTAAATTTTATTTTTTACTTATTAAAATTAAAGCCTATTAAAAAAAATTACATATTAAAATTCGAGAGCTCAAAACGGCTGCTAGTCCTGATTAAAATTCGCTTCAACTGGATTAAAGTTTATATTTTTGTATTTATTAAAATTTGATTCAAATTTATTTAAATTTATATTTTACGTATTAAAATTTAAATCGATTAAAATTTATATTTTTTATGTATCAAAATTTGGGTCGGTTATAATTAAAGGTGAGTTGATTAAAATTTTATTTGAGCCTCAAATTTTAATAGGTAAAAAAATATACTTTTTAATCGACTCAAATTATAATACATAAAAACAAATTAACTAACTTGAATCAAATTTTAATTGATCTAAATTTTAATAGGTGAAAAAAATTTAAAAAATAAAAAGGGTCTCATTAAAAATATGTTTATGCAGAGTGTAGATAAAAAAAATTAATATATTATTGACAATTTAATAAAATTATATTATAATTAACATCATTAATTTAACAGGGTTGTCAACGAAGATTACGAAAATAAAAAGGGTATCTTTAATGATATGATTAATTAGAAAAAATGTTACTGACAATTTTCTTTTATACTTCAAAACTGGAAACGTACGGAAAGAAAATAATTAAAAAAAAAAAAAGAAGGAATGATGTGAGAGATGAACAAATAATTAGCTTGTTTAACACTAATGCCTTGGTCATTCTGAAATATTAAACTATATATTTTTGTAATATAGCTTTAGATTTAATGTGAACCATTCAATTTAAAAATTGACGTGACGTTTCAAAAACCAAGTATTACATTCAAAAAATAAATCTGCAGAACCCTGATGGGGATTGTTGCTATTTAATAGCGACAGATGCATGAACCAAACCAAGTGGATAGGTTGGTTTGGTTGACCTTTACTTTCTTGTATATTTCTTTGTTTTTTTTTTTCGAATTATGATGAATAATTTAATTCTAAAATCATTTGTACAATTAGAAAATAAGTTCAAAAACCCACAAATCATATGAAAATGTCAGTTTAACGAATCATTTGTTTCTAACACTCAATCAACTTATTTATTATTTATACTAAGTGGTTGTGTTCGTGTTCTAGTTTACTTATATAGTATTTGAATACAAATTACTTATACTTCCAAATGTAGATGGTTACGGGATTTGAAGATGGTTGGATGATTCAAAACGACTTTTTTTTTGTAAATTTGCATAAAAGGACTGTATGTTATTGTCTCGATAACACAAACTAATAGAGAAATGATAAAATTTGAAGGAAAAGAATAAGTTTTTTGGAGAATTACATCCAGACTTTATGAAGTTTGTCACTTAATCACTTAGATCTTTTGATATTTAAAATATTACACACAGACTCCCTAAAGTTCGTACGTGCGTAATACTTCAATTCCTGCTGTAAATATATCGTCTGATAAATTACACCAAAACCCCTTGAAGTTTGTAAACATATATTACTTTGATTTTTAAATTTAAAATGTTATACTTAAATTAAAAATATTTTAATTAAAGATAAAATATCAAATATTTTATTTTTTACAATTAAAATTCATGTTCTGTTATATCTTTTATTGAAATAAAATTAAAAATAAAATTTAAGAAAAAATCTTAATTAGTATATAATTATATTGTTTATTGGAATTTAATTTGGTTATTTAAATGACTAAATTAAAATACCAAACTACCACAATTAAAGTCAAAATTTAATGTGTCTATTACAGTTTAACCCCTTATTTAATTTTTTAGTTTTATTCTAATAGATAATATAATTATATACTAACTATGATTTTTTTTTTAAAATTAAATTTTTATTTTTGATTTTATTTCAATAAATGACATAATCGAATATAAATTTTAGATGAAAAACTTATATTCTTTTATGAATGACTCAGGTAATGTTTGGGAACAAGTTGTTTATGTTTTTTTTTTTTTTCATTTTTTGCTTTAAAAAAAATAATAATGCGTTTGAAAAGTGTTTTTATTTTGTTTTTTTGGGTCAGTAAGTTTTGTAAATAACTTCAAATTTTAAAAACGTCAAAAGAAGTGTTTTTAAAAACATGAAAAAACGGAAACACGCGCGCCCCTTTAAATCATTTAACGAGGTTTAGCCTTCGAACTCTACTTGCAGAAAAAAAAAAGGGTTTACAAATATTCCCCCACTAGAAAACCCCTTTTTGCCTCTTCTCTCGTTTCATCTCTCTCCCTCTCTTGTTTATCTCTCTCACGAGGCCAGATACAAAAGAGCTACGAAGGAGCTCTCTCTGTCTCTCTCTCTCTCCCTTCTCTGATGGTTTTGTTGGAGAGTTTCATGGTTGGTTTTTATGGGTGGTGCTGGGTTTCAGAATTTACTGGTTTGTGGGTTTCTAGGATGGTTATTGGGTTTCGGTGGTTATGGTGGTGGGGGTGAGTTGTGGGTTTCGATGATAAGGGCTGGATTGGGGGTGTGTTTTGGTGGTGGGGGTGGGTTTCGGTGGTGGGGTTTTGGTGGTGGTGTTGGGGGTGGGGTTGACACAAAACCAATTGTTTAGTTTTCTTAACACTAAATTGCCAACCAATTCCTTATTTTCTCAATCGAAAAATTTTACCAAGGAAATCTTTCCCCTATATCTCTCTCTTCACAGCAACTCAGAAAAAGAGGGAGGGAGGGAGGGAAAAAGTAACAGAGAAAGAGAGAGGAGGAGGAAAGGGGCCTTCTTTTTTAGGAAAAAGGGGGATGTTTGGTTCTTCGAAATCGATCTCGCCAATCTCTCTATCTGAATCTCTCTTCCATTTTCTTTCAAGTTCTTTTGGTTCTTCTTTTATCCCATCGAACCCCGCGTGAGAGAAGAAACGATAGAGGGTGGTGGTGGGGGTGGGTGGGGTGGTGATTTTGGGTGGTCAGTGGGGTTGGATGGGGGGCGGTGAATTTTTTGTATAATACAAAACATGTTTTATATTTTTAATTTTTATCACAAAAAAAATAAAATTTATTTCAGTTTTTTTAAAAATATATATATAAAAATAAAAATGTTATCAAATGCACCCTTAGACTCTTTGTTTATTTATTTTTTTATTCTAGTATATAGTATAATTGTATATTAATTTTTTAAGAAAAAATTAAATTTTTATTTTTATTTTAATAAATGATATAATAGAACATGAATTTTAGTTATAAAATTTAAAATATTTGATATTCTATCTTTAATTAAAATATTTTTGGTTTAAGTATAATATTTTAAATTTAAAGAGTCCGAGTATTATATACTTACAAATTATTAAAAGATATATTTACAGTAAAGATCTAAGTGTTACGTGTATCTAAATTTTAAGAGGTCTATGTATAATATTTAAATATAAGCCCAAATAAATCATTGTCCCAGGTCCAAAAAATTCAAATGGGTTATCTTCTAAATATATATCGCTAACTGCAAAAAAGTTAGTGAACAAAAACCCATGGCACTAAATCGGCACAGCCCAAGAGAGACTTAGTTGGTGGGAGTGATTTGGTTGGAAAATTCAAAGTGATAAACACAGAGTAAATGCATGCATGCAATCGCAAAAATAATTAGTAATAAATAAATAAAACTTGGCCCTTGCTTGGCATTACATAACAGCCATATTTGGTTTTTTCTCTTTTGTTCCACTTTCACCTACTAATAATAACAGCAGGACAAAACACAAGGGTCAAACACCTTTCCATTAAGTCGTGAAGTGGCCTAACAAATTGATGCCCAATAATCTTCTCAAACTTGGATTTGGCCCATTGAAACTTATGGGTTGGCTTGGCCGACATAGATTGAGTAGACCAACATTTCATTCCTTAATTTTAATGCGTATAATGCTTTATTTTATGTATTATCACCGATACCTTGAAACTTGATGGCCGTATTACTACTCACATTGTAAAAGAATAGAGATACGAAATCAAACTAATTTATATTATTATAGATTGTCAATAAAAATAAAAAAAATATTTAATTGACTGTTATGTCCCTATAAAAAAAATTATAGCCAACTATATCCCTATATATTTTACTTTTTTTTTTTTTGTAGTAAGTCCTTTGTTCTATTTTGGATTGTACGTACATAAACACCATCAACATTTAATGACTTTTGTCTTTTTTTTTTTAAATTCTACGCGTAATTCATAACCAAAAATTAAGTACGCACAAAATCGGTTAGCTCAATCAAAAGAAGCAAAAGTGTACAAATTGATTGATTCAAATCTCCTCCAGAATATATATTAGTTACTTTTTCTCTTAATACATCATTTATCATTAATGAGTGAAGGACTTATTTACATAAAAAAACAAAGTTACGTGAACTTAAAAAATAAATTTGATAATTATAATCATTAATTTAACTATAGGTTCTAATATTTATTGAGACTCACTATCTATTCAATAATTATGATAATCAAATTTAATTTTTAAATATATTTTTTAAGTTTATGTAATATTACTCTTATATAAAATAATTTCTATTTAAATGAATAATAGTTGATTTAAAATTTTAAAAAAGTATATTGAAACGAATTTTACTTTGAAATTGACAACAACTCCACGTGGACGTAGAGGGCGCCGCGTGGCAAAAGGCCAAACCACTGCTCGATTTCATTAAAGGCGCACATGTACAAACAGACAAGTAGGCTCTGCTGTTGTAATGTACTACTACGACCTTTAACTCCAATCCAACCACCTTCCTCATGGGCCAAATTAAAAGCCTCACCTGTCACCAGACCACCCCTTCTAACTCAAACCCACCTGTCAGACTTGAATTTCACACCTATTTCTCCTGATTATATTCATTATCATCAACTTTCAAAAAAGTTGGTCTAAAGAATGGTGAAGAAAATGAGAGTTTCGTCTTTTGCTAAGTTCAGCTTGTTCATGGTGTTGTTGTGTGTTGTGTGTGGTTTGATTGGTGAAGTTGGTGGGGATTCATTGGGGGACCAGTGCGCGGACAACTTTCAGAAGGTGACGACGTGCCTGACGTTCGCGACGGGGAAGTCGGATACGCCGACGAAGGACTGTTGCAATGCTGTGACGGATATCAAAGCCAGCAAGCCCGTGTGCCTGTGTTATGTCATACAACAGATGCACAACGGCTCTAACTCACAGCTCAAGAACCTTGGAATTAAACAGGATCGCTTGCTTAAGCTACCTTCTACCTGCAAGCTGGCTAATGCCAGCATCAGTGACTGCCCAAGTAACCTTTCTCTACTAACCCTTCTTTCCCTATACATGCTGTTCTCGTGTTTATTTTGAGTGGTGTTGTTGGGAACCATCTAAAAATTTGGCCAAAAATATTAAATATTCTATCTAATATTTCATGAGTTAAAAAATTAAATTCTCAATTTATAAAATATAGTCAAGATTGTTGTTATTTTTTATCTATTTTGATCTAATTGTATAAAATTTATTTAATATTACAGTTTCACATATAAAAATACAAGACAATCAAGATGGTTCATGACTGTTACACATATTTAGTGGTACTATATCCTTGTCGAATATTAGGAAAGATTTTTGGATTGCCCAATGTTATTGAGATTTAATTTGTTCGCCTAATTTATTATGATTAGACCTCGTCAATCAAACAGATCTAATACTTCCTAACAAATTATGTTAAATTCAAAAATATTATTCTTTTGAGCGGGTTAGATATATTTGTTTAGTTTGAATGTTATGATACAGTACTCTTTATAAAATAAGATCAGATGATATGATGTTACAGAAGTTTTGCATCGGTCGGTTTAAGATCAGTCACAACCACCGCGTAGTTCCTCGGAGCGATCTCCGTAGGACCTGCCAACGGTATCTGGCTTCTTGAGGGCCTTTCACAAGGCCTCTGCTGTTGGTGAGTCTTTTTCCACGGCTTTCTCCTTTCCTTGGTTCTTCCGTTGTTCTCAAAATGGTCAGGTTTGAAACATAGTCCTAACCTAATCGTATTTTCTATCTCAACACATTTATTCACCCTCTTTCTTCTCCGCTTTGAAGATATAGTAGGATCAAGATTTTAAATGATTATCAAATTGATATTTAAAACTAAAAGTTTTTTATTTGGTCGAATCTTTAAAATTTTGGTCTAGACATCATGTATCAAATCAAATATTGCTAAGTCAACTATCGTCAGATCAATACCATGACATTTGGTCTTATTATTAAAAAACATTTTGGATAGATTTGTTGTTGAGAGCATAGAAGTCCGGTGATTAGAGATACATGAGGTCATCCAAAGTATAGTATATTAAGACACTTTTGGTCATTAACTTTGATATCACTCATTCTATAAATTGGAGGAAAACAAGAGAAAAAGATCTATTAATGAGCAGAAATAGATTCTTAATCTTAAACTTTTCTTGTTTTACCTCTCGTACCTGCAATTAAAACAATTATTAGGGAATATTGCACATTTCAACAACTCACTTATAACTTCACAAAGCATAGTAGTCGAGGGGGACTTACTTTAGTGCTCCTAATGGTTTAATGAGAAACAGATAGCTACCAGACTACCACATTGATTATGGCATGTGCTTTGTGGTGTTCAGAAGAACACCGCTACTTTGAGGTGTACATCTAACTACAATTACTAGCAGTTGTAGGTACCTATCAGCCAGCCTACCATAGCATAGCTATCTACATATGCAGTAAAATCGATTTTCTGTCCTTTTTCATACGTATTTCTGTTCGTACGGTGATTTCTAGCCTTTTTTTGTTTTCTCTTTGCATTTTGTCATTATTTTAAATAAAGTGTATTTGACCCACCTTTTTAATGCGTATTTTGCAAACACAATTCTATTGAAAATCATGGGATAATGAAAAATAGATTAGAAATCATGATATTTAAAAAATAATGTTACAAAATTGGAGGCTGACATTTTACAGTTCTCTCACCGGCTCTATCATTCGTTTGTGTTTTGTAAATGGGCAGAGCTTCTAAACATACCACCAAGCTCTCCAGATTATGCCATCTTCACCAACAACACTGTGTCGGCGACTCCCATTCCCACCACAGGAACATCATCACCGGCTACAGCTGATGGGTCAAATGGGTTTAAGTATGGACCCCAATTCGCAGGGTCTACGGCCATTGCTATTGCCATTTTCTTCTACACATTCCCAGCAGGTTTTGTGTCAGCATTTCACAAATGAGAGTGACAGGTTCACCCATCATCATCATGTGTAATGAAACTACACTTCTTTTGCTTTTATTTTGATGTTTTCTTAACTTCATGTATGATGTTTTGCGGAATTATTAATCACCCAAGTTTTTATTAGTAGCCCCAGTGTATTTTTATCTTATGAACAAGTATTTTGATAGTTGCAGTGGCTTCAACTATCATGCCAAATTCTTGTTGCCTTGGTTGAATTGGGCTTTTGAGTCTCAGATACGTCTATAATATTTTGATGGATCGCGTCAGTGACTTGAAAAAGATTGAAGGGTGCTAAAAATTAGTTCCATTGGTTTACAATTGCTAAATAATCAAGAAATTCAAAAGCTTAAGCTGTTATGCAGTGAAACTTTTATTGTATATATCTTTCAGTAGGTTATTTCACGTGTGGGTTTGATTTTAAAACAAACACCAGTCTATAGACTAACAATAAGATTCGATGGCAGGATAAAAGTTTAGTTTCAATTCCGTCTACAATCATGAAACTTATACAGAAACCATGATGCAATTGAACGTGCAGTAAATTTAGGACTTCTCTGAAATGATGCATACGTATAAAGTAAGACTAAATTTTCTTTATATAGAAAGTTTAGTGATTGCTATTGGAAAGTAGTTCTCTGGATCTGGCTGTCATTGACAACCAGCAAGCAGATTTGACAAGAGGGTGGACCTGGCTCCCATTTTCCATTGTATCATCAGAATTTAATGTTACAATTTTTTCTATATTCTACTGGCATTAACTAATAGTTAATTTTAATTTGTGAAAAGCGGACTGAATGTATGATCCAATGATCCAATGAGATGAGCTCGAATTTTTTTTATATTTGACTGCCATTAATTAATAATTAATTTTAATTTATTAAAAACGGGCTGAATTTATGGTCCAATGAAATGAGTCTAATATTATTAAGTGATATATTTTGATGGGTTTATGTACATCTTTTAATTGATGTGGTTGAGGCAGTTAAGTGTAGGCCTTAATTTAATTGTGGCCTGTAATGGGAGAGCCTATTAGATTTCATTATAAATAGCAGGTTAGGTCCCCTCTTCACTTCATAACCCTAATTTGACTTGTCCTATTGAGAGCTGCATATTGCTTTGAAGAAAGAGAGAAAGACTTTACCCTTTCACGAAAGAAATTTGAGTATCTAGTATCATGACTCATGCAAGTATGTTTTAAACCTTGTAATTTAGGTGTTCTAAATTTTATATACGAATTATTAAAATTTTTTACATGTGATATCAGAGTCTATCGTATATGAATTTAGAATTCAATAAAGTTTATTTTATAATTTTATTTATACAATTTAGGAATTTTAAAACCTATTTTTTGTAACATTGATGACACCAATTTTTCCCAACGCCCAGTTGCCCTAGATGGTAATACACCCCTCTAATTCTAAAGTTGAAAAATCTTGAATAATTGCGGCAGTGGACCACCGCCCTATATGAAGTTTTTTTGTTTTAATTATCTTTATGGTACGGACTCCACGGGTTAATTAAAAAAATTTGAATGTCACGTACTTTTTCTATGAATTGAATTTTATATTATTTCACGTGGAGAGATTGCATTTAGTTTTGGGTGTGAAGTTATTATTAAATACCTTTTAGGTGGTTGGCTTTGAATAGTCAATCCATGCTTTCAATTGTTATTGTGTTATACTAAAAGTTATCGTAAATCATTATTTGATAATACAATCATTGTTTATTGACAAATAAATACAAACTTGACTCATAGTAATCAATTATTATTTGTTTTTTTTTGATTGAATTGTTATAATTTATAGATGGTGTTGGTATAATTCTAATTTTTAATCCCTAGTAATTTATATGATGAAATTTTTTTTGTGATCCATATATTATTTATTAATATTGGTAAATGTGAATTTAAATTACTTAATTTTAATAATAAAAATATAATTAAGATCTGAATGCAACAATTGATGATGAGTGATCTAAACAGATACATATTGGTTAGTATCTCATATTAATTGATCATATGATACTTAATTATGAGCAATTTGTTATAATATCCCGGTTTAAAAATTCTATGAGTTAAGATTAATGGTTACCCCCACAGTAGTTCATTAATTGAAATTTGTAGATTTTTCTCATATTTTTATTACGGGATAGTCTCTAAATTATAATATATAATTATTTACCTAAAGGGAGTTATTGTGTATTATAATTTGGAGATGTCATAAAATATTGTGGTAAATGTGTAATAGTCTAAAAGGTTTATCTGCTTAAAGGGGGATAACTTTTTAAAACTTGAGCATTCTCTTTGATTAGTTTCATGAAAGAAATGACCTATAACATATTGTATTCTCTACCCAAAGAGGAGTTTGTAGTGATATATTTAGACTCTCTTAATAAAGTATGACTTATTGTGTTAAAAATATATTTTATTTATTTATTGCCCAATTTTACTAATTATTTATATTCTCTTTGGTTTAAACAATTTCTTTTGCTGTGAATAGTAATAATGCCAACATTGAAGTCTCGAGTGGTTCTAATTATAAGAGATGAAATCAAGATATTAAGTTTGCCCCTGAGAATTGTTGATATAGACTTTGCCTTGAAAGAGAATGAACCTACTAGTGAGAGTTCTTCTAATGAAAAAGAACTTTATGCAAAGTGGGAGAAATCTAATAGGCTAAGAATGATTGTCATGAAAAGGTCTATCTCTGAACACCTTATGAGTGGTTTGCCTAAAACTAAGAATGTCAAAGAGTTTTTCACCGTTGTAGGAGAAAGATACAAGGTATTCAACAAGACTGAAACTAGGGGCCTAATGAATGAATTAACGTGTAAAAAATATGATAATGTAGGTGGTGTTAGAGAATATATCTTTAGAATGATCTATGTTCAAACTAAGCTCAAAGCCTTCAAAATTGTTATTCCTGATGATTTTATTGTTCATCACACTCTTAATTCTTTGTCTCCTAAGTTTAGCCAAATCAAAATTGCCTATAATACCCAAAATGAGTCTTGGACAATAAATGACTTTATTTCTAAGTGTGATTATGAGGAAGAAAAAAAATTAGAAAAGAAAAGAGTGAATCTATCTTGTTTGTTTCTCAGCCTAAATCTAATTTCAAATGTAGGTATCAGGGAAATAATAGAAAACCTAATCATAATGCTCTAAAGAATGGTTGAGATTTCAAAAGGCATGGTACTGGTTAGAATGTGGGAGGTCCTCAGACTGTCATTTGAAAAGATGTCAATTGTTACATTTGCAAGAAACGAGGTCATAAGAAAAGTGAGTGCACTCGATTCAAGTCTTGGTTAGAAAAGAAGAAGGTAATTTACTAGTCTTTGTTTACTTTGAAACCAATTTTGTTAATGTCCCATTAAATTTTTGGTGGATTGATAGTAGGGCTTCTGTTCATGTTGTCATTATTTTGCAGGGATTCACAAGCAAACAGGGGTCAAGTGAAGGGGAAGTCAAGTTTAAAGTATGAGATAATAATGAAGTCCACGTTGAGTTCATAGGAATTGTTAGGTTAAATTTAGAAACTGATTTTCAACTTTTTTTATAAAATACTTTTTATGTACCGTCATTTAGGCGAAATTTGATTTCAGTTTTTTTGCTTGAGAAAATTGGATATTGTTTTAATTTTAGTAATGGTAAAACTCAATTTGCTTTAAATTTCAAAATTGTTGGTCATTGTGTTTTATCAGATGGTATGTACAGTATATGCTTGGTTATTAATAATGAATATAGTCTTTCAAATATTGTGAATGTTGTATCTAAGAGATCTTTCATTAAAGAAAAATCTTAACAACTATGACATAAACATTTGAGTCACATTTCTAGAGAAAGAGTGAAAAGATTAATAAAGAATGAAATGATTCCTCCCCTTGAAACTTATGTTGATTGCATTAGGGGTAAATTGACCAAGACTAAGAAAAAAAGTGCAACTCGCAGTCTAAATTTTTTAAAAATAATTCACACTGACATCGGTGGACCTTACTTATGTACATTGTGTGGTAATAAATATTTTATTACATTTATTGATGATTTCGCTCGTTATGGATATATTTATTTAATTAATAAAAAATATGATGCTCTTGAAAAGTTTAAAACTTTCAAGATTGAGGTAGAGAAACAATTAGGAAAAGTTATCAAAATTGTTAGGTCTGACCTTGGTGATGAGTATTATGGCAAACATGACGTGTCTGAGTAGCATTTGGGATCATTTGCCAACTACTTGTAAGAATGTGGGATTGTTACCTAATATATCATGTTTGGTAATCCCGAGCAAAATAATGTGACTGAAAGACGTAATCGCACCCTTAAAGACATGATGAATAGGTATAACTTACCTGATTATCTTAGGGGATAAACCATTAAAACGGCTTCATACATTCTTAATATAGTTTCTAGTAAATCTGTTCCAAAAACACTTTTTGAAATATGGACCAATAGGAAATCAAGTCTTAACTATTTTCGAGTCTGGGATTGTCTTACCGAAGTCAAAATCTATAATCCTTTTGAGAAAAATATTGATCCTAGAACTACTCCTTGTTTCTTCATAGGTTATCCAGAACATTCTAAAGAATACCGGTTCTATTATCCTACACGTGGTACTAAAAATGTTAAGTCCTTAACAGCAAATTTTTTGGAGCTTGATGTTGCTGATATTGATTGCTCATAGTCTACTAGTATGCATGAGCAAGATAAATTTATTTATATTCCTTTACATGTTGTGCAAGAGAATATTGCACTTGTTCCTGTTGTTAATTTTGCTGCTCCAGTTGTTGATCCTCTTGTTCCTACAATTGAATCTTCTGTTCCTATTGAGACTCCTCAGCCCTTAAAGTCTACTACTGAAATTTCCTTGAGAAGGTCTACAAGACCAAGGAGACCTGTTATTTATAATGAATATTATGTATACCTTGGAAAAAGTGATTATGATATTGGTAATATTGTTGATTTTGTAACATACCATGATGCTATTACTTGTTTTCAGTCTAATATGTGGGTAGGTGTCATGAAAGATGAGATGCATTCTATGACACACAATGAAATGTGGGAGCTTGTGAAATTTCTGGAGGGATGTAAACTCATTGGCTGCAAATGGTTGTTTAAAACTAAGATGGACTCCAAATGTAAGATTAAAATATTTAAGGCTAGATTGGTAACAAAAGGGTATAGCCAAGGGGAAGGTATAAATTTTAATAAAACTTTCTTACATGTCTCTACCAAAGATTCTTTTAGGATCATTATGACATCAGTGACTTATTTTGATTTAGAACTTCACCAGATGGATGTGAAAAC